CTAGTTTTGGAATGGAGGTGGAGGCAGTTATTGCTGCCTTCTGTTGGCTTGAGAATCAGCTGTACACACATGCCATGACTGTCACAGCATGCTAAGAAAGGAAAGGACAGACATGCTCCGTGCAGAGTGGCCAGGTCATGCTGGTGTGGTAGTAAATGAGCAGGCAGATAGCCTGGCCAGTTCTGCACCACTTGGTGGTGAACGGATGCTTGCCAAGCTAGGCGTTGTGAGGGCTCTTTGGAAGTGAGTAAACAGGCATTTTCTTAGACACTTCCTAAATAGACAGCTTGAAGACAGTAGATGAAAGACACAGAAATATTAAAATAAGAATTTTAAAAAATTTAATTTCCGAGGTACTTTCATAGCATTCAGAAATCTGTGAAAATCAAAATAAAATGAAACGTAGTTCCAGACTGAGAATATTTACCTCCAGCATTAAATCAGTTCTGTTGCATGAATCAGAAATATGCAGAAAAATCAATACAATCACTAATAAACCAGATTTGTTAAGTGGTAGCCCTAATAAAATATAGAACTGCACTTTATACAGCTTTAAGAACACACTATGAATCTTAATTCCAACATATGCCAGGGAAAGTTGGAGAACCACCAAAGATATGGAACAAAAGATTAATACATTTGAAAAAAAAATTGGTGAAAATCCTGAACATAAAATGAGATGAATTCAAAAAGAGAAATGTGTGTACAAATACCTTTACTGACTGCAATAAGATCAAGAAGGAGGAGAAATATTGGGTACACTGTGAGATGAAATGAACACAGAATGGCAAAACAAGCACTGAAATAGCAAACAAATGGTCTGAGAAAAAGAGGACATCAAGGGAAACATTAAAAAGAACATTATTACAAGAGGTTAAAAATGCTAGGCTGAACATGTCAGAAATCGAGAAAGTTGCATGCAACAGAGTGGAGTGGAGGAATCGAATGCGAGCCCTATGTAACATCTAAAGACACAAAGGATGATGATGATTAAGTATTAACTTGGCAGAGTCAACAAAGTAGAGTGGTATGATAAATATGAACATGAAGCTTATGCAGACATCTAAACAAACAACAATGAAGGTCAAGAGTGGAGGAAAGGAAACTTGCTCAAGTTTGTTAACTCTGTTAGTGTCCAGCGGTTTCACAGCAAGAGTAATAAGGGGAAAAAATAAGAACTGTGGAAATTCATGATTTCCTGACTTTCAAAGAAGTTAAATACACAGTGAAGTAGCAGCCTGTGGGTAAGTCAGGTCTCATCTTACCAATTGTAAAATGTTAAAGAACATGCTGTGCTATGCATGAAAAAGAGGAGGACAAGACAAACATACATCTTGGCAGTAAAGGAGTTAATAATATAACTAGGAGGTCATTTCTCTTGAACTCACACAAAATTAAAAAAAGACAGGAAGATTAAAAACACATGCAGAGATTAAAGGTGTGAACTATTTAGGAAGGACATGGTGTGATCTGCACGGAATGGCTACAAATAGGGTAGTTTTGTGCCAGTTGGCTGGGAGTGCTTATACTCCAAGGAAGATTTTTTTTTTAAAGTAACAGAAGAAAAATTAGTCCAAATGGATTCTGTGATTAGGGATTCTTCATATACAGTTATGAAGATGGAAGGATAGACAGATAAATAGACAAATGCACAGAAATACATGTATACATACATTGGCATATGTATTAAATTGATATAAGTTAAACTGAGTTGATTCAAGAACTGACATCACAGCACTTGGGGCATTCCCATTAGCTCTCCGTCCCCATCTTCAGCAGCCAGGAAGAGTTCCAATACTAATGGTGCCAGCAGCATTCTGATTAAACGTCCGTCTTGCCTTTCCTCTGAGCCAGAACCTCTCATCACTCTCCCCTGCATAGATCTCACCAGACTGTGGTGATCTATCTGCTTCTCCGAACCGTACACGCTCTCCCACAAGGCATTAACCACTAATATAAACAAATAATCACTTATATATGGCCCATAGCTCAGTTTGAAACAAATATATGGACCCAAGAGAAATGGCAACAAACAATATTTTATAGATGTGATGTTTAAAGAGGATGTGAAGAATATGCCTGCTAGAAAAAGTTTCATAAATTCTTGAAGCCACTGGAGAAAATGGATATCTATTTAATTTCATACCAAAAGAAAAAAGAGTTATCTTGGATAACCATACAATAAAACGTGGTGGATTATTACTGGAACTACTTGAGAGCAAGACCTGAGGCAAAAGAAACAGGATATCAAGAAAACCTACATCACATAAGGATGCAAGAACACTGGGACACAGGCTTACATAGGCCTTGACAGAAGCTTGTACTCTTATTTTGGATGAAATGTCACAGAGAACTTAAATTCTATCAAGAATTCATGTTCAATACAGCCACCACTTAACTGATACACTTATGACATCTCTGTTAAACTGTAAATTCCTTGAAACAGCACACCCTACTTTTTAAGTAAACCAGTTATCACATGTCATTGTGACTTTATCACTGACCCCATGATTTCTGTTGACCTGATTATTTATGATCTGAGAAAAGAGAACAGTCTGGAAACAAACAAGAAAAACGTGGTGGTTGTGAAAGAACCTCAATATTAAAACTGTCAAATCCTAAACCATGCTTTATGAGGAGGTGCACTGTCTTGAAGCAAAGGAAGGTTATGAATGTCTATTCCTAGATTTTTGGTCAAGTCTGCAAAGTACTGTCCATTAACTGTTTTACCATAGTGACTGGTGGGTAATCTTCCAACAGGACACCTTTGACATCTCAGAAGTTATCCAGCATCACTTCTCAGAAAAGGTTCTGTGCCCCCTGACTGGCAGATGTTGGGCAGCCCAAGGTTTTCCACTGCACACTGCAATTTGGATTGAGGGTCTTATTAATAAATCAAAATTTACTGTCACCAGTCTGGCACTTTTTCAGCAACTGTTGGCAGCAAATTTACCCTTATTTTCTTCTGTTAACATTCACACATTTATGTAGGTCTATGGTCTTTTAATTGTTCAGTCAGTTTTCCTGGACCAACAATAATATTGTTATCTTGGTCAATAATTTTACACATGGCTTTTTTGTTGCTGCACCCTGTGGATAGTCTTTCAGATATTGGCAGATAAGCAACATTTGAGTAACTATCATTAAACTGACTCCACCATTACTCTTAACAATCATTATAGCAGTAGTTCTGTTTTACTGAATAACAGGATCTGTTATTCTAGCCTGTTGAGGAAACACATACTTCACACCCTCAGTGCAAATATAAGCAGCTTTAAGTTTCAAAGTTTCAAACTTGTTCTGGATACTCCTTCATAGTCAGGATAAAGATGTATGCACAGCCCCTTGTATGATGAGCAACAAAAACAGTTGCAGAGGACAGTCAACAGGGGGAACATGGTCAACTGACTTCAACACCATTCTATGGATCAGGTGATCTTATGTGATTGAAAACTGAAACTGAAACTATTAAAACCTATATTTATTGCTCAGTTAAAGAAACCAGGCACTTTAAAATGTCAAGACTATTGCACCATAAGTCTTATGAATCATATGACAAAAATGTTACTGAGAATAGTAATCAGAAGAATAAGAAACAATATTAAACCAGAAATTAGTGATGAACAATGTGGATTTGTAGAAGGAAAAGGTACAAACAATGCCATATACATCCTCAGGATTCTTTCAGGAGGAGCTATAGAAGTAAAAAAAAAATCTTTACTTACGTTTCATTGACTATACGAAAGTATTTGATTGTTTGAAACATAAAAAGATATAAAACCAAACGAAAAATATATTAGCAAGCTTCACAATATAACAAATACAAACAAAACGTGAACATTGCGGCTATGGAGCCTTTGAAACATAAAGAAATAATCAAACTATTGGAAAAGTTAAACATTGATGGAAAAGATTTACGAATTATAAAGTACATGTACTGGCAGAAAACAGCAGCTATAAGTATTAATAACCAGTTGGGAACATTTCGGAGCATAGAGAGGGGAGTAAGACAAAGATGCGTACTATCACCTGATTTGTTTTCATTATGAACATATAATGAGAGACATCATGGATATGCAAGGAACTCTGATTGGTGGTCATAACTTAAACAACTTGCATTATGCTGATGACACCATCCTGATAGTGACAAGTCAGACAGAAATACAGGAATTGGTAGAAATTGATAAAATGGGCCTCAGTTTGAATAATGAACAAACAGAAGTAATGGTGATTTCCAAGAAAAGAATAGTGCCTAAATGTATAATAAAAGTCAAAGGCAGTATTTTAGGACAAGTACAGAAATTTATGTACCTAGGCAGATGGATAACATCCGATGGAAGACATATCACAGAGATAAAGAAAAGAATACGATAGGCCAAAACTGCACTGTATTAAATCTATGTTGCTGTAACTTAGGAAAAGAATTCTCACATGCTATACAGAGCCAGTTTTAACCTATGGCTGTGAAGCCTAGACAATTAATAAACAAGCTGAACAATATCTTGAGGTCTCTGAAATGTGGTTTTACAGAAGAATCCTTAGAATTCCCTGGACAGCTAAGAAGAGCTACCCAGATGTTTTGAAAGAAGCGAGTGCTCAAAGACAACCTATTACAAACATCTGAAGGAGATAGTCATCATTGTTTGGTCATGTTATAAGGAGAGGAAAAATGGAACATGTTGTGACCACTGGAAAGATCTCTTGAGAGAAAGACGGAACAAGACAGCATGAGAAGATTCTTGACGGCTTTTTGTCATGGCATGTAGGGGTGTCAGCACATGAATTGATACACGCAGTTGCAGATCGCAGATTGTGGAGAGGCATGATCGCCCACGCCAGCCGGCAAGGTACTTGATGAGGATAATGATTGGATTTGACTGAAACACATACCATATACATATTGCTTAACACTCTCTTTTATTGGTCTTACATTCATTTCTATGTGTACAAATTATTTACACACACTGAAATTAAACATTTAGCAACATTTTAATTTTAATTTAATTCTGAGTGTTCACACTGGATTCTGTAGAGAACTGTTCTGTATCCAGGTCACCGTTTAAAATCTTATTTTCAAAGGCACTAATGATATAATCTTTGTTCTTCCTTATCTTTGCATTAGTCTTAGTTCTGAAGTCATAAGTCAAAATATCAGGTTCTCTTTCCACTATTCTAGCATAAGCATCACACAGTTTCCCAACATCTTCAACAGATAGTTCATATGCTGGCATCTCAGGCTTGAGTTGGCACAGTTCCATTAATTCACAACAAAGATCTTCTCTCTCTAATGGAAACAGGGTCCTGGAAATGAGATCAGACTTTAATATAAATAAATATAATATAAATAAATATAAATTATAAAGCAACAATATTTATTCAAACAACATAGAGACACTGACATTAAAAACACATGCATGAACACACACACACATATACTACTGCATTCATCTGAATTTGTAATTATGATGTATCCAGTTACAGCATGGCTGCGATATTTGCACCTTTCGGTCGACACATCCTTCTGCAGGCTTTTGTTGACTATTGACTTTTGTTGATATATGACATGGCAGATGTGGTCAGAGCCCTTTGTAATGAAGACAGAGGAGAAACTAGAGTATTATGGGTTGGAATGATGCACCTGGGTGTGACCAGAGGGCTCGGCAAACACACTACGCTCAGAGAAAAGTCAAGACGGACATACAACCTGACTACAACTGGCACCATTAGTATTGGAACTCTGGGCTGGCTGCTGAGGATGGGGACGGAGCACATATAGGAATGCCCCAAGTGCTGTGATGTCAATGCCCGACTCAACTCAACTCAAATCAACCTTTCCAATTAGATTGTGAGAACATTGCAATCTCATTATTGTGTGGTCACCTCTGTTTCCCAGGCCATAGGTGGTGCCCCAGAGAAGCCACATAATGCTGGTCAGCCCTCAAGAGAAAGCAATGACAGAACATGAGCATTCCCCTCTATCCAAGGAGGCTTCCATAAATGCAGATCCAGTACTCTGGTACTGGGCTCAGCCCAAAAATCAACAGGTCCTGCTCATGACTGTTTAACCTCACTTCTATACATTTATCATCTCATTCTTTGGGAGCCAGCTGTAGGTAGCTTGCAGACCTGGGTTTTCGATTACCTACACAGAATGAGGACTTTGCTTATTTTGCATGTTAGACTTTTACTGCAGTGGACTTCTGCATCCACTATAGCTTCATATGTCATTTCTCACATAGATGCCCAGGTGCATCCGATGTTCATTATACAGATAGATAGGTCTGTTTTATTTTCTTTCCACGTTATAGTTTATGAACTCTGCATCTCGAGGGATTATCAGCTCCAAGAATCCCTGAAAGTTTTCTTCTTCTTATACCTTCAGACATCAATGTGAATATATTTTCTTCTTTTTGGCCTTCACTGGCTGTAAACACCAAAAGAAAGTTCTAGTTGTTTGTCTAATTATGGACTTTGGACCTGTTCTAGAATCTGAGTTTTGCATGCACATCCATTTTATCGATCTGGCTTATTTATATGCAGACTGTTGGTTCTTTGCCTCTCAGGCAGATGCATTCTGATTTAAAGAAAACACTTTTAATTATTCACCTTTTATGATATGCGCCCTGGGGGCAAGGCTCTATTTTGTTCACCCTCCAAAATGGGGCCCCGGAACCCACACGGGAAGCATACATACAATTTTCTAACAATGCCTGTGATGTGACTAGCCATATATTAAGACATACATCACCATCATAAGAGTTGCCAGCTGTAATGAATCTTCACCCTGAACTCATACATGTTTTTTCTAGTCCACTTGTGAATGTTGGGTACTTTTTTTAACAGCTGTGTCTCTGTATACGGGTGAACTTTCTTATTTGTCTAATCTTGATTTCATTTAACCAGTAACTGAAACACTTCCTTCAACATCTTAGCTCTCATCACGGTCAGCCTGAAAGAAACTCAGTCTCTCACTAGTTCTCCTATCTCAAGCACTTTCCTACCCAAGCTGCCACTTATATCCCGTGTCCACTTTTGTGCTGGCCAGCACTTCTTTCCCGATACCATACTACTATTATTCTTTCCAATCTGTGATGACACTTGATATGACCAAAATATTTCAGCTGCTGTTTCTTGGCCAATCTTCCTTGAGGTTCACATCTTTTAGGATGTCACTTTTCTTTTCTTCTTGGTCCATGGTATTCAGATAATCTTTCTATACCGAGCATTGCAGCTCAAAAGACCCATTCCTATTTTCTTCCCCAGTGACTGCTAGACAGTCCACAACTTACATCTGTATGTTGCTAAAGGGAAGATGTATGCTCTCGCAATGTTGACTTTGATTTCCATGCTGGTGCTTAACCAATGACTTTGTTTAATCTATGCATTCTATGGGCATCCAACTTTTAATTTCTGTTATACATTTTAAAAAAATAATTTTTTTTATGGAGCCTAGATATTCAATATTTACATTTTGAATTTCTTCATCATTTACTATTATTTTTGGATGACAGCAGACAGGCTAGCATAGCCGGTTGATTCCCTTCTGTCTTCAATTATGTGTCATGTGTATTCAGCTACTGCTTGTGTGCACCAACTAACACATTGTGTATAATATCTGTTATGCTTGATTTGTACATACTACAGAAATCTGGCTAGATATTTTCTTCTGCAGCATTGTATACACTGTGTCTTTGAAAGACATATACTCATGATTTGTTTTATTGCGGATATTTTGTTGTGCTGCAAATCTTCTGGGACTACAAAAATAACACTGATTTATTTATAATCTTAAAAGGGTTTTAATACATTCCCTGTGTGGGTCCTGGGATCCCATTGTGGGGGAAACAAGAATAGACCCACTGCCTGCCCAACAAGCATGTCATAAGAGCTGACTAACTGGGGGCTTCCTTGGTAGTCGGAGTAAATCTGTTTATAAGGAGCAACTGAGAATAAGATCCAAGCAATTAGAAAGATGATAAACATTACATAAAAAAAACTGCACAGAAGCAAATAAGCAGAGACATTCAGGCCCCACAAAAGATTAGGATTCTACCTATTCAACACTCTAGGAGCAGGAATCATCAAAGAATATAATGCAAAACTGGTCAAATGTTTACTGCCTGCAAGAATCTCCAAGATGTGATCAACAGAGAATATTCTTTTGGCCTACACCAGCAACAAACTCAATGGAGATGAGAACTACTTAAAAACAAACAAACAAACAATGTTGCCTTTCTTTACAGTTTTATTTTAACAAAAGAGGGCAGAAGGAGCAAGAAGTGAAGCAGAAACAAGAAGAAAGAAATAACAGTTAAGGAAACAGAAAAAAAAGAAATGAAAAAAAAAACAAGAACATAAGAAGAAGGAAAAGAACAAGAAAAGGAGCAGAAACAAGTTAAAGGAGCAGAAGAATAAGAGAAAGAAGAGGAGGACTGGAACGTGAAATAAACTGAGAGGAAGACAAAACAGAAGAAGAGGAGGTGGCAGTATTGGAATATATATGTATAAAAATGCAGAAAGTGATAAACACATTTGCACAGCCACTCACAGATGCATTTCCAAGGACAGAAACAGAAGAAATGAAAACATGCATGCCTTTGTTTATACTCAATGATAGCTCTTCAAATTGTAATGACCAGGTGTATACTTACCTAACTGATTTTATGATAAATTTGTTTGGTAAATGGAAAAGATGACGGCTGACTTTCTCAACCAATGGGAATGGTTGCCTTATTCGTGGTTCTTTCAATGGCACAAACTTGACAACACCGACATCAACTTCCGGGGGTGGAACAAATGCTTTTCCTGTAATAATAACAACAATAGAAGAAATTAACATATACATTTCTTTTCTGCACTGCAAACGTACAAAGTTTCAATCAATATTCCACCAAGTTGTGCAGAGCTAGCCACTGTCCGTCTGTTCATTTCCCAATACACCAGCGTTTCCCAGAGAAATGATCTAGAAAATACTCCACACCTATGACTTCCGAAGCGAAGCATGCCACTCTGCACGAAGCATGCCTATCCTGGCTTTCCTCAGCATGCTTTCTGAGCTAGTTACAATCACGATGTGTGTGTGTCGAATTCTCTAGCCAGCGGAAAGCTGCAGTGACCGCCTCCACCTCCATTCTTAAGCTGGATCTTGTGGTATCATTTGCTAGGCTCTCCTGCACCAAATGTTGACCATTAACTTTAGTTAAGAAACCCTAGGCACTTATTTTTCCTCATAACAGTAAACCGCCTGTATAAATAATCATATCTTCTGAGCGAGCAATATCTTGAATTAACTGCTAAATTTCCACCTCCGTGGCACCTGTTGGCCACTCTCTGCACTCCTGGTTCAATGTGATTATGACTCTACACAAATCTGACTGTTCAGGTGGCACCTTAACCGACTCCTCTCCTCGCCTAATGTTCTCAAGGATGCAAACCTGTCTGATTGTGTCTTCTGCCTGAGCCATCCATGACTTCCCTCATATCAGCCGCTAGCCCATAACTGCACCCAGAGCTTCATGCAAAGGGTGATCTGTATCTGCAGCTACTCTGAGATATGACTTCACCTGCAGCACCTTCAGCCTGCATGCAACAGTCAGCAAACCAAGGATGTACTGCATACACACAACACTGGGGTGTCTCTGGTACAACCCAGAATGGACCCGCATAGCTGCGTTCTGTTTATCCATCTGACTCTTTGAGACAGTAAGCAGTCCTAGTCCATAATCAATCCCTGAAAGGATCAGGTGCTGATGTAGTGTGAAAAGAATTCTCTGCTCTATGTCCAATGCAACCATAGTCTTGAGTCCTTTTTGGCATCTTGTCACAACTCCACATGGTCCTTAAAGGACAGGCTCCTATCAAATGTGTTTCCCAAATACTTCAGTTTGCTCTTTCTGTTGATGTTTCTATTATCTATAGTGAGACCTAGGACCTTAGCTCTAACAATACTGTTGTCTAGAGATCACCACACACAAAAAACGCCTTTTCTGGGTGGACGACAGCTCCCATTTCTGTAGACCATTCAGTCACTTTGTCTTCTGTCTCTTGTAGCTCCTGGGCTGTTTGTTCCCTCTCTCCCCTTGCCTATATGCAAGTATATCGTCTGCAAAAGTCAGTATCCTTCCAACTCCTGGTGCTTCTAGACAGTGTGAAGTCTGCCTCATTAATCACTGCTCTATGATGAAGAAGTGTGGAATGACCTTAGATGTTTGGGTTGATGCCAGTGAAGTTGATCAACATTATCAATCATGACAAGTGATTAGTGATTAGAAAGGATTATCATCACAGCACTCCTGAAAGATCCATAGGTGCTCCGATCTCCTCAAAAGCTCCACAAGTGTAAAACGACTGATGATGCCTGTTCTGTGTTGGTTAATGAAACGTCTTGTCCCCTTAGTGAAATAATCATTTCTTGCAGCTCCAGGCTGCACCCCCATGTCCATCTGTCTAGACAGGAATACGGAGTCCTCGGTACGGTAAGTGCAGCGCATGACATTGATAACATCACTCCTGTCCAGTATTGGACCAGTCATAGCAACTGCAGTGTCAGCAAGATAGTCTGCACGCTCAAATCATGATGTAAGTGTGACAGGGACATGTCATTTCTCCAGAACTTTTTTTTAAACAGAATAGAAAGAATTTTTTTTGAGAAATGTTGAGAAATGAGATGAAATTCTATTGACAGACAAAACACCAACAAAGCCAGAGGACAGACACATTTTTTCATTTAATTCCCATTAATTGGGTGTAACGGACATGTTCATTAACACCAGTAATGCTATAGTATGCAGTAAACAACTAGGGATCCATTGCTGTTTATTTTTTAGCCTAAATATTCAAAGTCTGTGACATTTTCAATTTCTTCATCATGGGAACATTACCTTGGAACAGTTTAAAAATCAAACAAAGGATGCCTGTAAAGATTTTTTTTTTGGTTACATTATTAATTACAATAAATACAGATTTTACATGTTACCTGGTATCGTAAACTTCAACTTTACGTCACACAAATACTGGCACATGATGGATAAACGGCATCTGTACTCAGATTTTGGTGGTGCAATTATCCGCTCTGCAACCTGAAAAAAGGCATACATGTCCTCAGCAAGAAAAACATTTCAACTATTACACCGATTTCTTTACAAAGTAATCTGAACCTGTAAGAGAACCAGAATCATATATTAAAAATCTCCCTTCTAACAGCACAAATGTTCTTTGTACTCGGCTATAGACTGGTTTATCTGAAACTGTTGAAGTTATTAGTAAGAATAATTTCTTCCCCATTTAGGGAAACAGACACAAGACAATAAATGCATCAATGACAGCCTGAAATATAGTATTTGTTGTTCAGTAAATTATGAAATTACTGTAGAGGTGAATATACACAATAAGGATGTTTTAAAATAGCAAATTAAATATAGTTTTGGTTCTACATTTTCTGCAATGTTGGTTTTTTTGTTTTTTGTTTTAATTAAGTTAAATATTGTTATACCAAGATAGCAGAAAATATTAATATTTCCCCTCTTGCAGAATGAAGATACACCAAAATTTTATCTATCTATATAAAAATCAATGTTTGTGTGTTTGTTTATGAGCTATAGACTCGGAAACTACTGAACCGATTTAGCTGAAATTTTCAGGATATGTTTGTTTTGATACCGAATGTTCACCCATCATGGTTTGAAATTCAACCTGTCATTGTTAGAGATAGTTTGCGACAATTTAAGCAAAAATATTCTAAACTAATATTTAAATTGTTAGTGACATCTTATTATAGCCACGTTAGTAATTGCGCATGCGCCGTAGTCAGAACGCAAGGCTTCCACCATTCGCCGGCGAGTTACGTGCAGCCAACGCCTTCTCTAATACATAGAGTAGGTCGTGGTACAGCAAACAAGACTATCTCTATATTTGTGTAGGCAGCGATTGTCACAATAACCATATTAAACACGATTTCTATTTTCTTTTTTTTTTTCAAACAACCTTCGATGGGGGGGGGGGGGGGGGGGGGCATCAAGGACTATCTCGACGTTGCCGCAGACATTGACTGCGACATTAACTTCATTAACCGTGTTAGACACGTGCGATTTCTACTGTTGTGCCGTTTCATTAATATATCTGGAGTATCTGTCTATGAGAAAACATTTGCCTGCGGTTTTGAGTTGTGTTATAATCGGGACACAGTAGTAGGGACACACATCTCTAATAGTTTAGTTCTCTTTTCGTTGCTCCAATGAAGTGGCTGCTTGGTTTGAATGGTTAGAACACTGGGTTCCTGTGCGGGAGACCAGGGTTCAAATCCACAGTAGTACATTTTTTTTTTACCCCGGAATAAAATAATATCCTCATCTGCTCTGTCGTGGTGACAGCACTAGCCATGTTGCACTTAATACTAAAAAAAAAAAAAAAAAAAAGACAAGTAAATGGATAAACCATTTGATAATTAAATTTGACCATTTCGCATACTCATGATTGCATTTTTAAACTTTCCGATTGCATGGTTACGCTGAAATTTTTTATATTTTACTCACGCTACCTCCGCTTTTCTATTTTTTACGACTTACTTTGTTATTTACAAGTACAGTTGTAGCTTTACTTCCGTCTCCCCTATGGAAAAATACAAACAGCTTTAGCATGTGATAACCAAATAACCATTTTTGTTACTGTGCTAATAACACCATTTAAACGACCAAATAACCATTTTTGTTACTGTGCTAATAACACCATTTAATACTATATAAAGTCACAATTATAAGGTGCGTGTTCTAAAGCTGGAAAACCAGACTATCTCTTTATCTGTGCAGAGAATGATTGCGGCATTAACTATATTAGACACATGCTATTTCCATTGTCTTTCCAAAAACCTTTGATGAGGAAGAGAGTAGTAGGTGGATTTAGTTGTGGTGGTGGTTGGGGGGAGAGGGGGGGGGGGGGTCAAAGACTATCTCTATATCTGAGCAGACAATGATTGTATTAGACACGTGCGATTTCTATTTTCTTTCATTTCCATTTAGCCAAACTATGCCACAGCAACGCCTGGCCGGGTACAGCTAGTTATGTATAAAAACAAGCTTCTGAAAAGTCAGTTATTAAAAAATGAATTAAACTAACATTTCATTTTAATGTCTGTTGTTTCAATCAGAAAGGAACTGATATGAGGTCTCAATGCACGGCTGGTAAGAAAATCATACACTTTCAAACATGTCTTGTGATGATAAAACAACATAAGAGTGCATATGACACATTCTTCTTCTTCTCAACGTTCAAGGGCTGTAAACTTTGGCAGAGTTTCTATGTCAATGGAGAATCATTAGCTATTACGGTTGTGTATTTTTTGCTGAGTTATTGTCATCAGCTTTAACAGTCATTAAAACAAAACAATGTTGCCAGCCTGATATAGACAGTGATCTTAGTTGTACTATGTCAGACAGAACGAGGCAATCATGTTCCCTAAAGGAACCACTTGTGTTTTTGTTGTTAAAGATGTGACTGTTTCGTTTGTAAATTTATGTGGATGTTTTTCTCCAAGTTCCTGTTGTCAGCGTTTTGGATTTTTCACCCTCCTCTATTTAATCACATTGTTATTAGCGGGGGGGGGGGGGGGGGGGGGGGGTGTGTCTTGCCATATACTCAAAAGAAAAGGGGGGGGGGGTGTCTTGCCATATACTCAAAGGGGCGGGGGGTCTTGCCATATACTCAAAAGGAAGAGGGGGGGGGGGGGTCTTGCCATATACTCAAAAGGAAGGGGGGGGGGTGTCTTGCCATATACTCAAAAGGAAGGGGGGGGGGGTGTCTTGCCATATACTCAAAAGGAAGGGGAGGTGTCTTGCCATTTACTCAAAAGGAAGGGTTAAGGGGTGTCTTGCCATATACTCAAAAGGAAGGGGGGGGGGGGGGTGTCTTGCCATATACTCAAAAGGAAGGGGGGGGGTGTCTTGCCATATACTCAAAAGGAAGGGGGGGGGGGGTGTCTTGCCATATTCTCAAAAGGAAAAAGGGGGGGGGGGGGTGTCTTGCCATATTCTCAAAAGAAAAAAGGGGGGGGGGGGGGTGTCTTGCCATATACTCAAAAGGAAGGGGGGGGGGTGTCTTGCCATATACTCAAAAGGAAGGGGGGGGGGGGTGTCTTGCCATATACTCAAAAGGAAGGGGGGGGGGGGGTGTCTTGCCATATACTCAAAAGGAAGGGGGGGGGGTGCCACCTGAAAAGGTTGGAGACTACTGATCTACATAATTTTTAGTGATGATCAATAAGGGATGAGTGTCTGCAGCAGTAAATCTATGTTTAATTATTGGCAAATCAAGTCTGCACAAGAAGAGACCAAAACCCAGGAGTCGCAACCCAGGTTAGTCCACATCCAGAGTGTCAGGGGGGATGAAACATTCAACTGCTAGTGAAGGGGGACTTCTGATGATCAGAAGACTACTGTAGTGCTCGCTCCTCCGTGGTGTTTCTATTACTGGTGCCTTCATCCTCTGGTTCCTTCACTGTTCTGAGTCCGATCAAACTTATCAACTATCTTGTCCTTATGTGGGCAATAATCT